TTACATTGAAACTAGCAAACTTCTATGCAAATTTAGAATAAATGACCATCCCCTTGCTATCCCACGCGACCAAAGACTGCACGTCATAAGTGGAAAGTTCTGGAAGATGAATTACATATACTTTTGTTTTGTAAAATGAACAATGAATTTAGACCAGGTTCTCTTAATGATTAAAAAAATAACAAAACATAAATATTTCCATGACAATGCAATAAAATATTTTTTTAATCCAATTAACAACCATTAGCAAGTGAAAGCATTATGCTCATTTAATAAACAGTCTTTGGAATTGAGGACAGGGGTCACTTGAGGTCATTTGTTGTGTGTTTAACATTTTGTTTTATGTGAATGTCATGATGATAATGTTGTTCTTGTAAATTGAATGTGTTGTCCTGTATTATATGTGTAATTTGAGCTGAATAATAAAGCATGAAGTTATTAATCACTCATCCGCAAATACTGTAAACTGTGTCAATAGTTTATTTCATTTTCTTGAATTCCTTAGGAGAATATTTGCGTTGTTAATTTTTTTTGAGTAATCTCGCCTCGCACAAAAAAATGAGATATAGAAATCAAAGGGTTTAGTTTGGGCCAGCGGAAGCATTATTTCTTGATTGTTAACAGCTTAAATTCTACGGATAGTATGTTAACAGCTTACATTCTACGGATAGTATGTTAACAGCTTATATTCTATGGATAGTATGTTAACAGCTTAAATTATATGGATACTAGTTAACAGCTTAAATTCTATGGATAGTAGGTATCTTCTGGACTATAGATTTGGAACCTTAACTATAATGGTCCTTATTATGTTTTCCGATTGGTCTGTAAATTGTCAAAACAATCATAAGGACCTAGGAGCTACGGGTCCACAGCTACTTCTAGACTTGTCGTACACCCAATACCCAAAAGTTGTGTTTTCCATTTAAGGATTTTGCACAATCTTGTTTTTTTTAACAACAATAATGTTTAAATCTCTGGCGCTCATTTCTCAAAACGTCATTAGACTAAAGATAATCATAAGTTATTCTGAGATATTAATGATTAAATAGTACTTTCAAAGCGTGCCAAAGTATAAGCCTGGTACCTTTGATGAGTTTACACTCTTACGAATTTTGTGAATTTAGTCCCTGATTATTGGTTACACATAACTGACAGGGGAACGAGAAAGAATTTTTGACTCCTCATCAATATGACTTATCTCTCTTGGAACGACTTTATTTTAAATAAATTTAAGGTATCAACACAGTTCTTACGGAGCTTTTATATCCCTATCAGTTGAGCTCGGACCACCCAAGCCCTTCAAAGAGGACACCGAAGCCCCCGTGTAATGTAAATCATGACAGATCTCCCAAAGTTGACAAATGAAGCTCAGAACCCATTATGTAGAGCTTGCAGCCCAACGATCCGGAGAATGGACACCGGAGATAAGAGTCTATGTTATCTTGAAATAAATTAAACAATATCACCTTGTAGAACGCCACATGCGGGTTGTTGGCTATGTTTTGCACGGGGTGGCGGTTTTGAAGCGGAAAAAAGGCAACCAAGGTAAGTAAAAGTATCAAATTTTCTTTTTTGGGAATTTTTAGCACCAAATAATGTATTGCACGGAAGACACCGAACCACAATATATCTCCAATTTTTTCAAACATCTCTCCCCAGTTTTCCGTGTCGTAGATTTTGAGACTTCATATGCAAATTTCAGGATAAAAGACTACTTTTGGCGATTTTTTCCCGTATGATATATATATAGAAATGAATTCCTATCATAGAATTTAACCAATCGCCAGCTTCTTAGTCAAACTTTATTGGTTTTAAAGTGAATTTTTCATCGAAATGTAATGTGTTGCTTGGGGTGTAAGATTTTGCGTCTCAAGGGGGTGGGGCTATACTAAAACAAGGTTATTTGACTTTAACTCGGTCTTTATCTGATAGTTTGTAATTCAACCACACCTAGTCTGTTATGATGACTCATTACAAGCTTAAGTCATTTCATTTGGCCCATATATTCAGGACATAAAATCAATACACATACGCGACAAACCAAGAGCAAAGGAACAATCCTTTAATTGCTGTTTTTCATACCAAAGTTACATTGAGGATTTCCAAAAAGTATTACAACTGAAATCGTTCTTTTGACCTTACCGTACACAACAGCAATACAACCGCTGTTGCCTTGCTGTTGGTGTATTTTGCTGTGCTAGCACTGATTTTGTGTTATGGATGGATACCTCATATCCTTTCTTTTCCATTATACTGATCACAACAGACAACTCAATAAAATCAAATCGTCAATCATTTAAAAACATTCTGATGACATAAGACATAAATATAATTGCGCTCAATTTAAGTAATACCACCATTGTTTCCCCTATAAGTATTTATTTTAAATAAAGAAATGCTTGATATGAGCAAATTTTTATCCTGTCCAGTACCACAAATTTCACAAAACATTTCATTGCATATATATAGATTATAACATGGCATTTTTCATATCAGACCCCTTATCAGCCCTAGGTCATGATATCAGCCCGAGAGCCGATAGGCTCGAGGGATGATTTTGACCATGGGCTGATAAGGGGTCTGATATGAAAAATGACATGTTATGTTCTTTTTATCATATAATTCAGCAGAAGTCATACGGACTAAAACTATTTTTAAATGTTGTAATATTTGTTTTGCATTTTTTAATAATGTATTTTCCTGATTCCTAATTTTTTTTATCCAACTTTGTTTTGTTTTACACAAAAAAACGTACCATTGAAGTGCATTTTCCGGAATTTGCCGAATGCCTTCGAAATGTCATGCGATAACGTTACAGAAAAGCATGCGATAATAACCGGAAGCAGTTGATATATAACGGAAGCAGTTGATATAAACCGGAAGCAGTTGATAACAAAAGTCATATTACACGGCTTAAGCAATTCTTCAAATTTAATGAATAAATATATGTAAAAATTAGTTTTATCATGGGGTACAATTATACCATTATTTTCTTTAAGTATATGATAAAAGATAATAACCATCACCGGAAGTATACCAATCAAATTATCACCTTTTTTTCATGTTTGCAAGCTTTAGTAACCATGTCAACTTAAGTTTCCAAAATATTTTATAAAAACACCAATTTAAAAATAATGGTGCTTTGAAACACCCCAGATATATGTTTAGGACTTTTTCTGCAATGAAATGCAAGGTTAATTTCCTACAACTGTCAAATTCAAGGGGATATTTTTTTTCGACTATTTTTCGCATGAAACAGGATGTGACGTACCATGTTTTGGTCGTATTACATCTTTTTTTCATTAAGTCTTAACTAATTTTCCATTTGTTTTAACTCCATATTGTTGTTTGCAATCTAATTACAGTCATATATCGTGATAAGCTTTCTCGTAGAAATTACTAATGTTTATTCTAATTAGATTGTGCTGTATGAGCAGCTTGTTTTGAAACGGATATAGCTTTGTCAAAGCTTTATAATGACTTGAAGAGAATCAAACAAAGGAGGCAATCATAAAGTCGAAGATAAACATGGCCATAGGAAAAAAATACGAATAAATTAAATGAAAAAAGAAACAGTTCACAAAAAAATCAAAAAAAAAATCAAGCAAAAACCACAAAAAAAAAAAAAACAACAAAAAAAAAACAAAAAACAAAAACAAATAAAAAAAAAAAAAAAAAACAAAACGAAATAAAAAAAAAGTGGGCGAATTAATATGATTGGTAAGCAATGTTCCCTCCAGGTGCTGAATTTTCACACGGCGTTGAAGACGCACTGGTGGCCTAAGGATGTTTTCTGCTCTTTGGTTGGGTTGTTGTTTTTTTGACACATTACCCGTTTCCATTCTCTATTCTATTCCAATAGTGACACCGGTCGTGCTACTCCTTTTATATTCCGTTGCTGTAAACTATACTGCCAAAGGTCAGGGGAAGGTTGAGTGCTCGCAAACATGTTTGAATGCGATTATCCTAGGTCAAGAGCCTGTTAATATTATGTGGTTGCCGTTGGTCACTTTCTATCATATTTGTGTTTTCTTTTATATAGTTTTTAACATAAATCTTTGTTTTTCCGTTTGGATTGTTTTACGTTTAGTCATTTTAGAACCTTTTATAGCTTACTATACGGTCCTCGTGAAATACTTATAGTGACCTATAGTTGCTTGAATCTACATCATTTGATGGATAGTTAATTCCTTGCAATCATGAAACATCTTATATTTTCATTTAAGGCATGCATTGAACAATTATAGAAGATTTGTTAATATTTTACTCTTTCTGAGAATTTCAAATGGAAAATTTTTTATGTACAAGACCATTATTGATTGAACAACACATACATTGAAAACTATAATAGAAAAAAATACAACACTAGAAACATAAGCAAAAGCAAAACACAATCTTTAGAAAACAATCAAATTGGTAAGTAAACTCAATCCTTCTCTATTAGTGGAACCGGGGGGGGGGGGGATAAGATTATAGAAAAGTTTTTATGACATGTCTCTTTCATATGTTTGCCCCCATTACAACACACAAACTTTACAGTCTATTGCTCTGCCACTGTTTTATTCGCCAACAAACTGGATACTGATCGAGTGTATGATATTTTTTTCCAATGTACATATCACGTGCTTTATCCTTTGAAAAGTTATTGTTTTGAAGAGAAACATTGAAACATATTTTACGCACGTCTCCGCAAGGTAAAAGGTTGTGTGTGTGAACAGAAAAACAAATCCAGTCAAACCTAACGAAAGCAGTGAATAAAAGAATTCAAAATATGCCCGATCTGCCTATTTTAGTCAATTTTGTCATTTAAAGGTCAGATTCGTCTTGTCAGGCATTGTGACCTGTTTTCTTTCGCTATACTATTAAAACCGAATCATTTCTCCGGGAAACGAAGGCAATTATTGATGACCATTCTGTTTTTGTTAAAATTTAACAGGTCAGTTCATGTTCATTTAGAGCATTTCTACTTACTAAGGCCACTCATGTAAAACTGTGGATTTATAACTGATACTTTATTATAGAAGTACAAAACGCCTTGTTTACTTTTGTAGATCTTCTCCACTTAATCTTCTCCTACAAAAGACAGAACGTAATATGAAGAATACAAAGTATAAAGTATATTGTTTTTCTTTGTTTTTATAGTGATAAAGATTATAACACAATGTTGACTGCTGTACCCCTATTTTCACATTTTTACCGATTATGTCTGTTTGTTTTGTTCACACATTGTTGTCAATATAATATAATGTCATGCGACTGTCATACAAGTGAGAGGCTTAGCTAGCTATAAAACTAAGTTTAATCCATCATATTCTACTAAAGGAAATGTCTGTACCAAGTCAGGGATATGACAGTTGTTTTCCATTCGTTTGATGTGTTTGAGCTTTTGATTTTGCCATTTGATAAGGGACTTTCCGTTTTGAAGTTTCCTTGGTGTTCGGTATTTTTGTTATTATACTTTTTATATATTCATAGAAACTTGGCATAAAAAAGACTTCAGTTTGTGTTGTTTGTTGTCTAATGTACTACAATATCACAGGGTAAAGTACTTTTCCTGAACCTATGTTTGTTGTAAATATAAAAATAAGATGTGGTATGATTTCAATGAAACAACTCTCCACAAGAGACCAAATGACACAGAAATTAACAACTATAGGTCACCGTACGGCCTTCAACAATGAGTAAAACCCATACCGCACAGTCAGCTAAAAAAGGCCCCGAAATTACAAATTACGATTCAAATGAGAAAACTAACGGCCTGATTTATTTACAAAAGAATGAACGAAAAACAAATATGATATACAGCAACAAACGACAACCAATGAATTACAGGCTCCTGTCTTGGGACAGGCACATACAGAACATGTGATATACAGCAACCAATGACAACCACTGAATAACAGGCTCCTGACTTTGGGACAGGCACATACAGAACATGTGATATACAGCAACCAATGACAACCAATGAATTACAGTCTCCTGACTTTGGGACAGGCACATACAGAACATGTGATATACAGCAACCAATGACAACCACTGAATTACAGGCTCCTGACTTTGGGACAGACACATACAGAACATGTGATATACAGCAACCAATGACAACCAATGAATTACAGGCTCCTGACTTTGGGACAGACACATACAGAACATGTGATATACAGCAACAAACGACAACCAATGAATTACAGGCTCCTAACTTTGGACAGGCACATACAGAAAGTGGTGACTTGGGACAGGCACATACAGACAGTGAATTACAGGCTCCTGACTTGGGACAGGCACATACAGAATGTGGTGACTTGGGACAGGCACATACAGACAGTGAATTACAGGCTCCTGACTTGGGACAGGCACATACAGAATGTGGCGAGGTTAAGCTAGTTTGTAAGTTCCTTTGTTAGGTATTTAATGTGCTATATTGAAGGTCGTATACGGTGACCTATAGTTGTTAACTTCTATGTCGTTTGGTCTCTGGTGGAGAGCTGTTTCATTGGCAATCATACCACATGTCATCTTCTTATTTTGATATCTATTGTCAAGTCCAGAGCTTTTATACTGCTTTTTATCGGTATATATTTACCCATCGTTGAAGGACGTAGTTGAGAACTGTAGACATGGATTGACAAGTGACGATAGTACAACAATATACCAGATAACAGTCGTTTACCATTAGTATTCATTCCGAGTGAATCTTATTATTAAGGGGGAGTGGGTTTACAGAATAGAGAAAAATGGACAAACAAAAACTAAACAAAAAACAGACGAAAGAATGGTGAAAAATTGGCAAAAAAAGAAGAAAGAATAGAAGATAATGGGCAAAACAAAATAAAGAATGAAGAACATGTACTTAAGGTGGTACCCAACACCTTGACTAATATTAATTTGGCTCGTTTAATATTCCTAAAATTTTGACAAAATGTTTACTTTGACCCTTTGACAAAAATATAAAAATTTCAATTAATTTGAACCAAACACTTTATCAGAAAAAATTCACTGGTTATATAGCAGTTTGACAAACACTAATTTTAATCATTGAGAAGCTTAATATTTCCTTAACAATACAACGTGATTAAAACGTTAAGTTGATTTTTACAGAGTTATCTCCCTGTAGTGTTAGGTACCACCTTAAAATAAAAAATACAGAAATGGAAACTACCCTTCCATCAAAACCCTCTTCAACAGGTGTTTCGACGATTGTAACAAAATCTAGACATGTTATCTCTTGGTGCGGAGAATGATTTGTTAATAAATAAAATCATCATAGATACCAGGCTTACAATTTTGTACTACAGATGTGCGTTTCGTCTACAAAAGACTCATCAGTGACGCTCGAATAAAAAAAGTGAAAAAGGCCAAAAGACTTAATCAGCACACAATCGGTGCGTAAAAATGATAATCACAAAAAACAACTTTACCTCTACTGTGGACAATCGCAGTGGTGGTGAGAGAGTTCAGGAACACACCGACATCTTCTTGACGGACAACCGTTGGGATAGCCATTAGGTCTACATTCAATCGGTATTTCACAGTAACAGCATTTACGTCCATTGCCAAAATCATGACAGTGAGGAGTTGAATTGCTGTAAGATCTACATTTACAGTCCCTGTCTCTCTTACATGGTACACAACTCAGTGAAATACCTACAAGATGTAAGCCAACTTAATCATAGATCAGAAGATATTAGAGATATCGTATGGCAAAAAGCTGTAAACTACGAACACAAAAGTGACACAAGAGTAACGTTGGACACAGGTACCTTAGGATCTAGACGGAGAGGGGGGGGGTTCTGTCATTTCTTTATTCTTAAGAATTTTAGGCCATTTTTTTCTCTATTCTTTAGATTTTATCACCCAATTATTTTCTATTCTTTATTTTTTGTGTCCTTTTTTGTTTTTTTTTTTGGTGTTCTTTATTCTGTGTTTTTCCCCATTATTCTCTTTTCTGTAAACCCCAGTCAGACCCGCATACCTTTTGTTTGAAGCAAACGAACATAACATTCAGGAAGGAAAAATTTACAACCGGGAAAGACAAATGATCTCATTATATAAAAGTAAAAAGATGTGGTATGATTGCCAATGAGACAACTATCTATCAGACTCCAAATGACGTGGATTTTAGCAACAATAGGTCACCGTATGACTTTCGAATATGAGCAAAACCCATACCGTATAGTCAGCATTAAAGGCCCTTATATGTGAAAATATGAAACAATTTTAACGAGAAAAAAGTGTTAGCATTGATTATGCCTTCTTGAGAAACAATTTTATTATTCCGAACCGATCTGTTCCTACCCCTAAATACCTAGCATTTTGGTAAATAAGCGACAAACCTTTTGCTTGCCATTGTAGGCACACGATCTCCATGCTTAAAACACACCGGAACAGTTTTGAAACTTGAAACTTAGATTTGTGCGATAGCATCAGACTGTTATAGATGTGATGTTTGGTAAAAATATTATTCTGATAATTAGACATGTAGATTTTAGTATTTTTACGAGGTGTGTGTATTTTTTGGAAAATTGTTCAACGGCTTCACTGTCAGAGGGGGTGGACAGGGGGTAGGTACCCTTCTCCAACTTTCCGCCCACTATCTCCCACCTCCCACTTTTAGAATCTCTTTTTCTCTCTCGCCTATTTTTTTGTCTCCCACCTCCCGCCCCTCCCCCACCTACATCCCCCTCAAAAGCTGTCCACTCCCTCCTGTCAGACAAGCACAATGGAAAATATATAAGGAGAACCCTAATGATAACAAGACGTATAATTGTGTATGTCTGACGCCTGTTTCGTCTATACAAAAATCGCCAGCGGAACCAAAACATTTTGAAAGCCAAAGATCACAGGAGCTGACCACAGGAACCCAACTAAAACCGGGATGAACTCAGGTGCCCCGGAAGGATAATTTAAATTGACTATTGTTCGCTTAACGTCTGGTGGCAAATATGTCATGCATGTTCAGAACGATGGAAAGATAAGCAGGTCCTGCTCCCAAACATGTGATACAATAATAGTTACATGGCAAAGTTTCTGTCCTTATCTATCATAGCTTTTTCTTCAAGTTTAAGTTGGAAATTCTTGCCCTTTACCCTGCCCAATCCATCTTACAGAATTTATCATTAAGTTATACTCGTCCTGAAATGAATTTACTACTGGACGTTAAGCAAACATCAATCAATCAATATATATATATATATCACTGTAGTGGATGATGGTCTGGATAGGGTTTACAGAATAGAGAATAATGGACCAATACCAAAAAAATAAAGAATAGAGAATAATATGCAAAAACAAAAAGAATATAGACCAATAGGGTACTAAAACATAAAGAATAGTGATTATGGACAAAAATATAAAGAATAGAGAAAAATAACAAAAAAAAATAAAGAATACAAAAATGAAGAACTCGATCCACACACTCGTGGATTGCAACGGATTTTATTTTCAAACTGTAAAAGGGGGTCTGCTTGGGGTTTACAGAATAGATAATTATGGACAAAAAGTGCAGAATAAATGGCAAAAAAAAAAAAAAAAAAAATAGAAAAAAAAAAATTAAGAATAGAGAGAAATGGTCTAAAAAATTAAAAAATACAGAAATAAACTCCCCATCCAGACCGTCCTGAAATACCTATCTTTTAAATTAGTTAACAGAAACTTTGAATTGTATGTACTGCAATGTAAATAAGCTATGTCTTATATAAATAAAGAAAATGTAAAAAGTATACTGACCTACGATACCAAAGAATACAATAATAAATAAAGAATGCATCCTCGATGTTTACTGGTAATTCAGTTGTCTTATTTGTCACAACGTCTTTATTTATACAGACCGACGAAAGTTGTTTACTGTAAAGGGTTTTGATAGATTGCAAAATATTACGTAATGAAATACATGTAACATTAATTTCATTTTTAGACAACGATTATTCATGAAAACATTTTAATAATTTCAACCACAAAAAAGATACAAGATGGTATGACAAAATCCCCTTTTTTTTCAAAACTTTTTCTTGGAATTCAACCGCATCATTATAAAAATTAATGTATTTCTAGTTTTCTTCTAATAATGAAGTGACAATTAAAAAGCTATTGGTTTAAACTAGAGTGATATATCTATAGAGACGGATGGTCGAGCTGAAAAAAGAAAAAAGAATGTTCGGAGATTCATGTAAATCATAAAATAAACATTGTTATCAGTAAATTAAAAACATACTAAATATTATTGTTATACACATATGCACTTTCACGGAAATAAAATCTGTCGATACCTATATTTTAGCATTGCACAAGGTCATGTTTTTCTCTGACTGACAATGACGTCTTTACACTACATCAATTGGATGTTGGATGTGTACTGATTGATATTTTAGTCTTAGATACATGTTTTTTTTATTTGGTGTTATTGCTTTTGGACTAGCTGCCAGTAACTCCAGTACTTTGTGTCTTTTTTGTTAGGGATGTATAAATACGCTGCCACGTCCGGTCTGCGCTTTTGTGTGATATTGTTCTGCTTTGTATCGATCTGATGAGTTAAGCCCTTTTCAACTGATTTTTAAAATTTGTTCTTATGTTGAGCTGCAACACGACTGTCCAAGGATAAGGGAGGGTTAAGCGCACACAAACATTTAACCCCGCCACATTCTTAATGTGCCTGTTCCAAGTCAGGAGCCTGTAGTTAGGTGTTTGTCGTTGTTTCATGTCTGTCGTATTTGTTTTTCGTAAATTGTTTTGTTATAAATAAGACCGTTAGTTTTCTCGATTGAATTGTTTCATATTTTTCATGTCAGAACCTGTATTAGCCGACTATACGGTAACGGTTTTTCTCATTGTTGAAGGCCGAACGGTTGCCTATTATTGCTTACATCCACTTCATTTGAACTTTGGTGGATAGATGTTTTATTGGCAATCATTCCACATCGCCTTATTTTTATATAAAAAATTCAAAAGATTAAATTTTATGATAAACAGACGGAATGATTTTATTATACTTGTTTCGTTTATTGTGATGTTCCGTTGCCTGCTTCTGATGAAGCTTACAATACATTTTATATATGGCGGCATGTAGATGAAATACCCTGCAGATCGGTTATTTCTGTCCTTCTGATGGAGCTAACATTACATTTTTGCCCGGATTATAGTATCCTGATGTCGGGTGGGTTGTGGAGTGAAGTACGGGCGGTAGCCAGGGATAACTTGGTACATAATTTGTGTACTCAACTTCGCCTACAATTTTCAACCCAGATCTCTGAACCTAGACAAGAAGATTGTACATTTGTTGAAATTATGCACCTGCTATTGTGAAATGCTTGTCTTTTTTCGGCAAAATTTATAAAAGAGGGTTCCTTATTTGTGTAATCTACTCCTACTACAGTTTTCAACCCAGATCCCCGAACCTTCGCAGAAAGATTGAACATATGCTGAAGTTGTGCACCTGCTGTTGTGGAATTGTTCGAGTATTTTGTTTCCTCATTTTTCCATGCTTGGGGACATTCTCTGTTTATAAAATTGTATGAAAACGTGTACAAGTTTTGTGTTATCAAGTCCGCCTACAGTTTTCAACTCGGATCCCCGAAACGTCACAGAACCATTGCACATATAATGAAGTTGCGTACCTGCTAATGTGGAATTGCTGACTTTTTAAGAAAAGGGAAACTAACTGATTTTTCAGGAAATGTTACAAAAGATGGAAACATTATTTGCATTTAACATAATTCTTTAGAACTTCACAGAGAGTTAGCAAACCTATTGAGGTTATGAGTCTTCCATTAGGGAGTTGTTAAAGATTTTCTCCTATTTTTACATCAATTTATATTTTTATAAATCTAAATGTTTAGTATAGACTATTCTCCATTGTTAAAGAAACAATCTGCGCAACCCTCCCATTTGAGTCTTTATTCTAATTTTATATACTTAGATGGAATACCTTGCAGACGGACTATATTTTTTTGTCCTTCTGATTGAGTCAACACTAAATTTTATATATGGCTGGATGTAGATGAAAAACCTTGTAGATCGGCTTTTTTCTATTTATGTTCTTCTGATGGAGCTAACATTAAATTTTATATATGGCTGGATGTAGATGAAAAACCATGCAGATCAGCTTTTTTCTATTTATGTTCTTCTGATGGAGCTAACATTAAATTTAATATAAAAGTTATGATGGCAAGTAGATGAAAGACTTTCCAGATCCACTACGTCTGTCTTTATGGAGCTAACATTAGATTTTATATATGGTGGCATGTAGATGAAAGACCTTGCAGATCGGCTATTGCTGTCCTTCTGATGGAACTAATATCACATTTAATGTATGGTAGCATGTTGATGGAATACCTTGCAGATCGGCTATTTCTGTCCTCCTGATGGGGCTAACATTAAATTTTTATTTAAGCTTGCATGTAGATGGAAGACCTTGCAGATCAACTATTTCTGTCCATCTGATGGAGCTTACATTACATTTTTATATATGGTGGCATGTAGATGGAAGACCTTGCAGATCGGCTTTTTATATCATTCGGATGGCGCTTTCAATAAATTTTTATTTATGGTGGCATGTAGATGGAAGACCTTGCAGATCAGCTATTTCTGTCCTTCTGATGGAGCTAACATTCAACTGTATATATGCTTGTAATGTTGATGGAATACCTTGCAGATCGTCTATTTCTGTCCTTCAGATGGAGCTTACATTACATTTTTATATATTGTGGCATGTAGATGGAAGACCTTGCAGATCGGCTTTTTATATCATTCGGGTGGCGCTTTCGATAAATTTTTATTTATGGTGGCATGTACATGGAAGACCTTGCAGATCGGTGTTTTCTGTTGTCCTTCTAACGGAGCTCACAATAAATTTTAATACATGGTGGCATGTAGATGGATGACCTTGCAGATCGGTTTTTTCTGTCCTTCTAATGGAGCTCACAATAAATTTTATTTACAGTTGGATGTAGATGGAAAACCTTACAGATCGGCCTTTTCTATCCTTCTGATGGATGTTACAATAAATATGTATTGTATATGGTGGCATGCAGATCGATCGGCTATATCTGTCCCTTTGATGGAGCTTACATTTAACTGTAAATATAGTGGCAGGTAGATGGAATTCCTTGCAAATCGGCTATTTCTGACCTTCTGATGGAGCTTACATAAATTTTTTATTTATGGTGGCATGTAGATGGAAAACCTTGGAGATCGTTTTCTTCTGTCCTGCTAATGGAGCTCACAGTAAATTTGATATATGGTGGCATGTACATGGAAGACCTGGCATTTCTGTTGTCCTTCTAATGGAGATCACAATAAATTTTATTTATGGTTGGACGAGGATGGAAGACCTTGCAGATCGTTTTTTTCTGTCCTTCTAATGGAGCTCACAATAATTTTATTCATGGTTGGATGTAGATGGAAAACCTAACAGATCGGCTCTTTCTATCCTTCTGATGGAGTTTACAATAAATTTTTATTTATGGTGGCATGCAGATGGAAGTCCTTGCAGATCGGCTATTTTTGTCCTTCTAATGGAGCTCACAATATATTTTATATATGGTGGCATCTACATGAATAACCTTGCAGATCTGCTTTTTCTGTCCTTTTAATGGAGCCCACAATGAATTTTATGTATGGTGGCATGTACATTGAAGACCTTGCAGATCGACTATATCTGTCCTTCTAATTGAGCTCACAATAAATTTTATTCATGGTTGGATGTAGATTGAAAACCTTACAGATATCGGCTTTTTATCTATCCTTCTGATGGAACTTACAATAAATTTTTATTTATGGTGACATGTAGATGGAAGTCCTTGCAGATCGGCTATTTCTGTCCATCTAAAGGAGCTCACAATATATTTTATATATGGTGGCATCTACATGAATGACCTTGCAGATCTGCTTTTTCTGTCCTTCTAATGGAGATCACAATGAATTTTATGTATGGTGGCAATCGGCTATATCTGTCCTTCTAATGGAGCTCACAATATATTTTATATATAGTTGGATGTAGATAGAAAACCTTACAGATCGGCTATTTCTATACCTCTGATGGAGCTTACAATACATTTTCAATCGGATACCAAAAGGTTTAACAAGGTATATTGAAAGAGAAATACCCCCTCCACACACACCCCAATAAAAACCCAAAGACAACCCCCTCCCCCCCCCCCCAAAAAAAAACAAAAAACAAGACACACAAAAATATATATTAAAAAAAAAAAGAAAAACCAAAGCAAGACAAAAAATTATGAAATGTGTCTGTAATTAGACAAGTTGAACATAACAATTTTCCTCAATGCAATACAACATTTAATGATTGCATTGCAAAACAGTATGATATAGGTAAAGAAAAAACCAGAGGAGGTTTCAGACGTGAGGCTGCAAACATGTATAAATAGAGGCAACACGTATTGTGCGTATTCGTCCCTTTTTATCTCAATGTTGTTGAAACAAATGCAAAGAGAAGAATGTTGAGAATTCAAAAGAAAGATAAAAATATTCAAGCTATTAACGAAGACATGTCAACTGGCTCTCTGATATCTGACAATGTACTTCCAAAATGTTTTTATATAACAGCATAATCTAAAGTGCATATAACAGGAGATTGTTTTTTTTTGTCGAAATAAAGGAGTAGGCACGGTATGGCCCCTTTTTGGCCCCAGAGTATAGTATTTTTACCAATAAGTTAAAATGTAAACTTTCAGCTATTTATTGGAAAGTAGAATACTTCTGTTCCATGGGCTGCTTTTGACAATACCATCCACATGTAGAAGGTAATAGCATCATAAATTGGTGTAATATTACTGAAATCTTCACAATTTTAGCATTTGTGCATATTTTAAGATGGTTTTTATCTA